ATTTCATCCGACACCTCTAAATTTTTTAAAATACGTATTATGCTTCCAATTAAAATGTTATTAATTTTTAAATAACTGAAAAGAATTTTGACCAGATTCTTAACGGTTTTCTCTTCCTTTCACCCTCTTTTCTCGCATTTCTTTTTCTCTTTAGATTTCAACAATTACCAATATTTTTAAGATGGTCCAAATATTTATATTTGAGAAAAAAAAGTTAAGGTTTGATATTTTTTATTTATTTAAATATAACAAAACGTACAACTATATTTATAATTTAGTTACTGTTGAAATAATTAGAATGATTAAAGTTAAATAATTGAGGTACATTCTTATTTGAAGTGATATTTTTATTGTTCAAAATTTAAGAAAATGAAAATTAAAAACTGAAACAAATTTCACATAAAAAAATAAAATAAAAATAAATTAATAAATATATACTTTAAAGTCATTTTGTTTGAAGTAGTTAATAATTTGAAAGACTTAATAAAACATTAAAATTTAATAAATATTCAATTAAAAATTTCGAAAACCATATTTAAGTCTTTATAATTAAACATGTAAACTTTATTTGCTCTTTTGATGCATTTAAAAAATCTACTTTTTCATTAAAATTGATTTCATTAATATTATCAATGTATGTATGCTTCTCAGTATATAAAATTAAATCATTGAAATTATTGTAAATTATAAAAATAACATTGAAGTATCGGATGAAAAAATCCAAATTTGACAAAACAAGCATTGGATGTAGAAAGTCGAATTCCACTCCATCAAATCTTGATATCTGATATGTAATTTTTTACTCTCGGATGTCGAAATTCGTTTTTCTCTCTATCGGAGGTCAAAATTCGATTTTCCCACGCAATGAAGGATAAATCGAATTTTGATATTCGATCCAAATTTGATATCTGATTGAGTTTCCATCGAATTTCGACGTCCGATTAAATCCTATAAGTTTTGCAATTAATTTATGTACTTGTTTGACACGAGAAGCTTAGAAAAAATCATTTATCAACTCTAATGGCAATACCACATGCCTAAAACACTTCTAAAAGAACAATTTCTCTCAAATCCCTTTTAAAGACCATGAGAAAGGAGAAAATAAAAAAGGGTGCAAAAGGATACATAAATGAGAAATGAAAGGGTGCAAGACAACAAAAGTTTATAAACTTTGATGTGGAGGGTTATTAAATGAATTTGTTCAACCACTTAATTCGTTAAAAATCATTTACTTTTGACCAACCTCATTAATCACAAGAGGGCAATTATGAAAATTGGAGGTGCAGAGTGAAACTTTTGGAGGTGCAGGACGAAACACCCATTTTATAGATACACGGAAGTAATAGCCTAGGACTGTTTTTCTAGAATTAAAACTTAATGGGCAAGTTGGGCCGAATGGAGAAGCCCATTTGGTACGACCACAAAACTTGTCGTAGTCAGCCTGAATGACGAAAGGAGACGAAACCCAGTGCGATAGTAGCGTCGGTGATGTCCAGTCATGGTGGCGTGGCGATGGTGATGCTCGTTAGAGGATGAGAAGAGAAGTTCGCAAGCAGGAGGACGATTGCGGTGTTGCCGTCGTCAACCTTGATCGTCGTTGCAGGCATATTGAAGAAGGTCAGAGATTTGACCACGTTTGAAGCTCGAAGAGGGTTTTGGTCTCGGCATTAGCGACGAGCCACTCTCCGGTTTCTCTTCTTCTGCACTCTCTTTTCCATGGCTTGGCCCAGGAACAAGGGAATCTAGTCGAATCTTTGCGCATGACATGTCTTTTTATTTCATTCTCCACACTTATCCACAATTCTCCACGTGTCTAGCTCATGCCAAAACGAATCTGACTAATCTAAGTCGACTAAAACATAAATAAATTTAACTAAAAAATATTGATTCAGTATAATAATTAATATTTTTAAATATTTAACATTTTAAATATTTTTAAGTATTTAACATTTTTAATGTTCTTAAGTATGATCCTTAGTTATTTTTATTTTAACATTAAAATAAAAAAGTTATAACTTATTAAAAGTTAGTTATGGATCAGCAAAGAATGTATAAGTTAGTTATTAAAAGCACGAAGGATAAAAAAAATAACTTATCTAATTAACTAAACATTTATTATTTAATTGTTATTTGATATTTTGATTTAAGGTTTAAAATTTATAGAGTTATCATTTCTTTTAACACGCCACTTACATTTTATCGCACAAAACTTGGTAAATTTAGTTATAGAAAGAATTTTATATGCATGGGATTTAAGAAAATGATTTATTTCAAAGTATTGGAATTATTTGGTTGATTTTTTAGAAGACAATTTCATCCTTGTAAAGATAAAGTTTATGCTTAAACTTTTGAAAAGCCTCAGCAATCCTTTAATGTAAATAAAGATTTTGAGAGTGTGAAAAAGACAAAAGAATAGTAGAAAAAATAAGTTAATTGATAATCAATTAAGAAAAAAAGAGAGAGATCATCCTACTTGGCGGCATTCCCCATTCGAAAACCCAATCTTAACTTATTTTTTCTTTGTTTAAACTCATATTCACGCAACTCAATTTACCCACGCTTTTTGAATTCGCACTGTCGACATATTTCAACATGCAATATCGTTATATCAACATACAATTTTGTAATATGCAACATACGTTATCGTTCCATTTCTAAGCCAGACCTTGGTTGCTGTCATTCTTCTTTTCAAATCATCTAGAAACTCAAACTCAAAACTATGTAAAAATGTATAATTTAGTATCAAAGGTAGGAAGTTAAAAGACGTCACCTATTAAGGAGGTAATTGAGAGCACGCGAACGATGGAAAAAATTTCTACAAAAGCAAAATCTGGTAGTGTCTCTCTTCAAAGCAAAATGATCGAAAAAGGTACCTTCGATGTCTCTAATGGCAGGATTTCAGATTCCAATTCCTTTGATGATGGCCGTACCAAAAGAACTGGTAATCAATATTCTCAAAAGTAGAAGTATTTGTGTTGGTTATGATTTCAAACTCACTGAGCTTCATAAAACAGGAAATTGGATGACTGCAAGTGCCCATATAATAACAGCTATTATTGGGTTTAGAGTGCTGTCTCTGGCATGGGCATTTGCTCAGCTTGGTTGGATTGCTGGTCCTGTTTCTTGGATTCTGTTCTCTGTGGTGACTTATTACACCTCCTGTCTTCTAACTGCCTGTTACCGTAATGGAGACCAAGTTACAGGCAATAGAAACCACACTTACACGGACGCTGTTAGCTCCCACCTAGGTATGCATGCAACTCAACTCAATTATGGTACTTTTGTTATGTCTTTTCATAATATTTCCGGTAAAAGTATAAATTAAAACAGCAAGGAATTGACTTTCTTCTTCCTATTCATGTGTTTACCAAACAAAGACATTTTTGGGTTTTGCAGGTGAAATGAATGCAAAGTTCTGTGGATGGGTTCAATATGCGACCCTTTTTGGAAGCGAAACCGGGTACACCATTGCAGCTTCCAAAAGCATGAGGTGAGTTTTGAAAGATGCAAGTGTTGTTGTGTGGATGAACGAGTAACAACAAATCTGCTAATTGGTGTTTTGGGTTGTCCATGAAACAGGGCCATTATAAGGTCTCGTTGTTATCATAACAGGGGAGCATGCAAAATGAACAGCAGTGTTTACATGATTTCATTTGGAATTGTGCAAATTTTATTATCTCAAATTTCAGATTTGGAACAGTTCCCGTGGCTCTCTAGTGTGTCTGTTGTCATGCCTTTCACATCCTCTGTAATTGGACTCGGTCTTGTAATTGCTCAAGTTATAGGTATGTTAGAGAGAATTGTGATTTATTATATCATTATGAGTTGAGGATTGATGAATTTGAATTGAAATGTGCTTGTAACAGGGAACGGAATGGTTAAAGGAAGCTTAACAGGTGTAAGTATTGGTGCTGAAACAAAAAACCAAAAAATTTGGAGGATCTTCCAAGCTCTCGGTATCTGGGCCTATGTCTATTCCTACTCAATGATCCTTCCAGAAATTCAGGTACATCTACATTCATATTAACTTCATTGTTCAAAAGATAGTTTCATAGGTCTTATTTGTATACTTTTTCTAATCAGAATTGAAATTTTGCATCAACAATCTGTATTCTTCTAAATGTGAATATTATCAAACTTGCGAGGTAACCCGTTACTCGAACTATTTTAAATTATTTTAAATCGAAAACAACAACTTGTTTGGTTCGGTCAAGAAACTAAAAACTCATGACGCCACACAGTTCCTTAAGGAAAACTCATGACGTCACAGTTCATTTACCGTGTCGTCGTTGTTTGCTCCTTGCACATCTGTTTGTGAATTTTTTTTGTCCGCTGCAAAAGAGATTTATTAGATTTTTAATTAATTAGGATTTTTAATTAAGAATTTGAGATTATTTTTAATTATTTAATAATTGTAGAATATGTTTTGTAATGTTATAGTTGGAAACTGAAATTAAGAATAATTTAAAAGATGTTCAGAAATAAATCAAATTTAATTAATAGCAGTCTAAATGTAACTTATTTATTAAAAAATAGAAGTAAAAATGTTTATGTACAGTGGTGAGATATTTACAACATTTTTTAATTGAAGTTTATTTGTATTGACTTATTTACTTTAACTATTTTGTTTAATTATTTTTTAATATGTTATTTGTTATGAAACAGGACACAATCAAATCACCCCCTGAAGAGTCAAAGACAATGTCGAATGCTACTTTAGTGAGTGTCTTGGTGACAAGCATTTTCAATCTGCTATATGGTAGTTTTGGCTATGCAGCTTTTGGAGATTCAAGCCCTGGAAACCTGCTAACTGGTTTTGGCTTCTATAACCCATATTGGCTCGCCGACATAGCCAATGTTGCCATTGTTGTCCATCTTGTTCGTGCATACCAAGTTGACTGCCAACCCCTGTTCCAATTTATTGAAAAACTAGCAGCAAAAAAATTCTCAGACAGTAATTTTATAACGAATGAGTTTGAAGTACGAATTGCTGGTTGCAAACCCTTCAAGCTCAACCTCTTCAGGTTGGTTTGGAGGACATTTTTTGTGATCTGCTGCACTTTCATAGCAATGTTGCTACCATTCTTCACCGACATTATTGGACTCATTGGTGCCATTGCATATTGGCCCCTCACCGTGTATTTCCCAGTGGAGATGTATATAGTTCAAACTAGAATACCAAAATGGAGCAGAAAATGGAAATGCCTGAAGATGCTTAGTGCGACATGCTTCGTCTTCACAATGATAGCTGCAGTAGGTTCAACAGCTGGACTTCTTCATCATTTTAAAGTTTACAAGCCATTCATGACCCATTACTAGTTCACTGCCATTTCTCTGTTAACATCATTGTTAGACATTACATGTTTTTTATTCATTTGTAAAGGTCTTTATTTACTTTATATATTTTAAAAGTTACACGTGTAAATTATGTCATTTATATTAATAAATTGTATGAAGGAAAAACAAATAGAATTTTAATCCCGTATACAAAATTTACAAATTTACCATGGAGAATAAATTCGTAACTATTTACGTCCTTATTTTTGTCCAAATTTGTAGAAGTGTGCGCTTTTGTTTCTCACTCGCGTCGCTATATTATATTTTATTTGTTTCACGTTGAGTTATTTATTTAACCTTTTACAATAAATAGTAAGTACATGAAATTGAGTTCATATTAAGATGGTGAAAGATTTATAAAATTGTAAATTTCGTAACAAATATATTTTATTTTTTACAAAAGTTATATTTATATATTTTATTTTTTGAATGAATTTTCTAAACGGATTATTTTGCTCTGATTGACTATATGTTGTAAAAAATTTTAAAATGATTATTTTTCTCTAACTGGCTATATATTCTGAAAATTTTCAACAATAAACTTTTTAGAGTTTCTAAAATGAGGCTTTCAGCTTGAAATTTAGGAAATAAAATTTTCAGAATATGATTTTTCAAATGAAATTTTCGAAACACATAAAATTTGTTTTTCAGAACGAGATTAAATTCTAAAATTAATGAAATATGTTTCAAAAAGAGTTTTTAGAATGAGGTTTTTTTTTATATATTTTCTATCTTTTTCTTGTTTGCAATGTTCCTCCTTTACAGCAGCAATAATGATAGAAACTGTAAATGTAAGATGACAGTGATAGTAAAAAGGGTGTTTGAGACTTTTTCTTCTTATTGTACAAAAATAGTTAGTAATTGTAGAGATACACAAAGTAATTGCCAATAACTGTTTTTCTAGAATTAAAGCTTAATGGGCAAATTGGGCCGAATGGAGAAGCCCATTTGGTGACGACCACATATGCAATGTCTGTCCGTAACCATAATCTCATCCTTTGTCACAAACCGATAGGTACCTGAAAATGGCGCAGAGTGTGACCAACACATTCATCCAAGGAACACGCTTTCTTCCACTCCCACCTCCCAAGAAAAACGTAATCAATTTCAAACTCAGAGTACCAAGTTTGAGTGTGGAATCATGAATTTTGACGGAGTTTTTTGTTTGAATTTGTTGGCAGGTAGGGAGAGTGGTGCAGTGTGGGGTTCGGTGCAGGAAGAAGGATATACACCCGGAATTCCATGGGGAAGCCAAGGTGTACTGTAACGGAGAGCTGGTGATGACGACGGGTGGGACCCAGAAGGAGTATGTGGTGGACGTGTGGTCGGGGAACCACCCATTCTACCTCGGCAACCGCTCGGCGGTTATGGTGAGCGACGACCAGGTGGAGAAGTTCAGGAAGAAGTTCGGGGAGCTCACGCAGATTATGGAGATTCCTGTCCTCAAAGGAGAGATTGTTATCCCCTCCAGACGCAAGGGGGTTTCCAAGGGAGGCAAAAAGAAGTGATCTTCTCTTCTTGGTAACTTTTTTTTTTGTCAATTTCAATTGGTGTAATATGATCAAACGCTTCTCTCAACTGTTTGAAAAAATGCTGCTATGGATATTGTTTTCAGCAAACGGGTGAATGTGGATATGTTTGTCACTGGTAAAAAACATGCATTGGGATTCATTGTGTTGATTTTGCTCTGACAGATAAAACAACTCGGGTGTTACATTTTTTTTCGTTTGGATTAGTTTATTTTGTACTCCAATTTATAAATGAGCTTGTTAATTTTTATTTCATAGAAGAAAAATAATGTCCTAAAGATATGATTATGAGACTTGAATGATAAGGATAATGGTGTTGGAGATCTCGGTTCAGTAATGTAGTTAAAATAGTACATATTAGTGGAAGAGAATTCGTCTCATGAACTAGCTTCATGAGTTGAATTAAATACGAATTGGAAATTTTAAATGATCTCAGAATCTGTGTAATGTTCTAATAGATTCTATTTTAGTGGCTGTTTTATTGGCTGACAGAGTCACCCATTGTCTTACCATTGTCAAACCAATGCATATGTACACAAACTTATGTTCATGACGAGTGTTAGAAATCTTAAATTGACTTGTAGTATGATGTAAGAAAAGGATATCCTTCACTTCATGGCCTAGCTTTGGAAGTTGTGATAAGCTCAAATCCAAATTCTAGAGTTTCTTGATGTTGTTGTTGGTGAAGAGCTACAGAAGTACAACTGAGATAGCATTTGTAAATTTGGATAACAACTTTCAAGGATTGATATGGTGGAGATATCCTTCACTTCATGAACTTTCAAGGATAACAACTTTGGATAACAACTTTCAAGGATATCCTTCACTTCATGAACTTTGAATGCCGCAGTTACCATGGTCATCTGCTAATCAAATTTTCACAACATTGATAATGATTTACTTGTTAATTAAAGTTTTGAACTTGCATGACGATTTTTTTAATAAACCAAAGATTATTGAAACATGAAATAGAATTACAAGGTATACTCTACTTACCAAGTAAACATTACTAGAATTATGCAGCATCATGCTTTGCATAATAAGCATAAAGTGCTGCATATCGAATGAATATTACTTTGATGCTATGTCCTGTTTTAGATTTTTGCGTGCATATTGATGTTATTGCCAGCCAAAATCTGAAAACACTTTATCGTGCACCCAAGGCCTTCCTTACAAGAATTGTTGCAGCAAACTTATATGAAAACCAGGAAATGACTGCAACAGACTTATATTAGATAACTTTGCAGATACTGCTAAGCTTTATTATCATTGGCAGATCTTTCACTCTGTGTGAATGTGAGTATTTGAAAGCTGAGAGAAAGTACAAACCGGATCAAAAATCTTAATTTGTTCAATCAAAGAGTGAATTGAATTGTCAACTTTATTTTTTTTAACTTTTCTTTTATATATCTTTTAATTTGTCATATATATATATATATATATATATATATATATATATATATTAAAAATATATTTAGTTATATAAATATTTTTATATTTTTAGTTTTTAATTTAATGTCTCTAGTAATGTAAATTATAATAATTATTATCTTTATCTGGTAAATTATTTTGTTATAATTAATAATTTAAATTTAATTTATAAAATTTAATAATTTAAGATAAAATATTATTACATATGTATCCTTCAAGTGATTTATAAATAAAAATTATTTTTTATTTTAATTTTAATTTAAAAAAAAAACGAACTGGTGGACTAGCCTATCCTTTGCATCTCTATCTATCCTATGCACGTTATCACTTATAACTTTATTTACAAATTGCTTAATAATGTGACACAATTGTTCAATGGTGAAAGTTATAGGATGTTGATCTTGCTATATGAAATCGTGAAAAATTGACTAGCTAAGCCAGATTACATATTTAACGTAACGATATTTCTTAAAGTTCTTGCATACACAAAATAACAATATTTGTTCAATGAACCCACTCCCAAACATTCCTAATTTGAATTGTTCAACTAACGGACTTGTATTAAAAAGAGTGGTAATTTTTTGAATTTTATGAAATTATTAAATTTTTTAAGTCTTTAACATTGAATTCACTAAATAAATTTGTCCAATCTATGATAAATTATGGATATCAAAGACTTAACAAATAGGATAAATGATTTTTTTCTTGAGATATGGGAATTTCGATTTTCATTTATTTATTTATAAACAAGATAAAAATATAGCAATAAATATGTATTTATACATTTTTATAATTTAAAATGAAGGATGATTATTTTGTGAAAATAAGATTGAGAATATCTTTTTAAATTTTTTTATATTCGTATTATATATATCGTTGATTGATATATACCGATCAAATTTCATAATTCATCGGCTAAGTTTGGAGGAGACAGATCGATTTCAATTAGAATCAACTGATCATTTATGTTAACCTAAATAGGTTTCGTAATCAAGTTTTATGGAATTGGACAGTGATTAGGCCGACTCTAATAAAAAAATTCATGGAGAAAACTATAAATACAGGCCAAAGATATGGTTGTTGAAAATTTTATTACACATTTATTACAACATTGATAATTCTACATTTATTGTTGTTGTTAGGGGCTATTGGACGACCCACTCCTTAAGTGTGTCCATGTTCTTGGACTGCTTCTTAAATATCAAGTCCGATAATCGTTTGGGTTGGAGGTCATATATCGAAGAATGTAAAATCACTAACGGGTCAAATTAGGCATGTTGATTGTTGTAATGGTGAACATTTCCATGAAGTGTCACATTGTTTTGTCTACTTCAAAGAGGCCAATGTGATTGGAACTATTTTGCGATCAATAAACTGAGCTTTAAAGATTGTGCTCAACATGTTGAAGGAATCTACTGAATTAGGAGGTGATGTGTAACACCAGTCTAGGGCTTGAATGTTTAGAGTGGTAGGGAAGAACCAACAATAAAATACCTTTTCTCGAGTATGAATGTGTACCTAGATCAAATAAGCTTTCAAATGAGTGGTTGGGTCGGTGATACCATCATACTTTCGAATATTAATGTTGATTCCTCTTGGGAGGTTAGCTGGAGTAATATTCGAAATAAAAGGATGGAAGTCTTAATCCTTGGAAAGTCACAAGTGTACCCTTACGTCCAGGAAGTTCGCGTTGGACTCATGTACTTGTAAATTATTTTGCTTGTTTTGATGATGAGGTGAATGTCTCTGTGGGTTGTGAATTCAAACATAGCCTTGAGATTTGTCCCATCTCAAATGGCCACAAGTTGGCCTAGGGCTTCTAGAGTGATGTCTTTATGTCTGTTTTACCGTTGTTCCACGATGGGTGCCAAATATTTTTATCAATTCTAAATTTTAGGTTTATAAAACATGTGGTGGAATCTTGAGATATTTTTACAAGGTAAGTCAGTCCAAAAAGAAAAAAAGTTAAATTGTAAAAGACTTTATGATGCTTAAATAAGTAAACCTTAAATATTTGTTTAAAGTATAAATAAAAGTATATAGAAATGATTTTATATATTATACTTCTTGGTCAAATTCTTTATATAAAACTATGAGAATATGATAGTCATGTTCGAATATCATATCTAATAATGAATAATCATCTCATAAATGAGTCACAACAAATATATGCATTTATATGCATTCAATATTTATTAGGTTAAACCACTTTTATAGTCTCTATTTTTGTTAGGTTTTCTCAAATAGGTCTCTTTCTCTTTTTTTTCTCTCAATTGGATTCCTAAAAGTGAAAAAATTAAAATAATTGACTGTCATTAAATTGACTTAACGAGGTTAATTTTTTGATTGTGTGCTAGAATCATTTAAAGACGTGACATTGCACAAAGTCTTAGGTGGAAAATGTTTAATTAAAACATAAAAGAAAATGGGTCTTTGGAAATCTAAAATCAAAACATCAATAAGTTAGGGTTAATGAAAAGCAAATTGCACTACAGGAAAAACATTTATTTCCGGCGGAGTATTACCGAAGGCTTTTCCGAAGGCTTGTGTAGTATGAAAATTGTTATCCAGGTCTGTTTGTGTATGAAAATTGCTATGCAGGTTTGTTGTTGGTTGAATGCTAAATACAAATGTCTCTGACATCTCCCTCAAACTTACCGAAGGCTTTTGCCCTTCGGTAAATACCAACGCTTGATGATTACCGAAGGCTTCTGCCCTTCAGTAAATACCAACGCTTGCTGATTACCGAGGGCTTAAGCCCTTCGGAAATTACCGAAGGGCGCAAGCCCTCGGTAAATTACCGAAGGGCAGAAGCCCTCGGTAAATTACCGAAGGGCAGAAGCCCTCGGTAATTTATCGAAGGGCAGAAGCCCTCGGTAAATGTTAGCGACAAGAGAATTACCGAGGGCTTCTGGCATTTTCCGAGGGCTTTTGGCCTTCGGTAATTCCCTGTTTTTTTGTAGTGTTGAGAACCAGAGTCTGATTAAATATGCAACACATTTAGGATTGATAGAGTTGGAAATTAGAGTGAGTTTTAACAAAGTTTATTGTATGATATTCTCGCGAAATTAGGGTTCATAGACATTCTAAACAAGAACAGGAGGATGACAATGATCATGGTTTCTATGCTCAGTCGTCAACGGTCTATGGTTCTAAAGACGAATATTGTTCTTTAAGATTACCATTGCGTAATTGTTTCGGCTTTTTATATTTTTTCAATATGGTATTCAACCACAGATTTCGTTGGAGGCATTGACCTCAACAATTCAGGCAGGTTGGCTTGTTTTTCACATCTAGACATTTGTAATTTTTGTTTAATCTTTTATATTTGTACTATCAAAATAGCATCATTGTAAAGTTTCGTGACCTCCTACAACTTTTCTTGTAAAATTTTGTAGTGTTGTTATCAAACAAAGGATAATTTTTAGAATTTTTTTTAATTTATATTGTATAAGAATTTAGTTAATAAAAAGGTATTTGAGATTTCTATTTTGTATTCCAATCTCAAGAATTTAGTTAATAAAATGATTTATTTCTAATGAATGCAACTTGTATATAATTCTCAATCAGTTATTAACATCAATTGATGTTTAACTTACGTCTAGAAAAATGATCACAAATTAGGTTTCTAAAAGCTTAATTATTTACAAGTTTTTAACTCCAAAACAATCAAAACACAAATTATAAAGAGTTTAAAAGTTAGAAGAATAAAAAAAATTG